CCAGGCCGGCCAGAGGCTCAGCCCACAACCAGCTCCCTCTCTCTAGGCCAGGTCCCAGCACCCTGTCCGCCCTCAAGCTCTCTACCCCGAGCTGAGGGGGGTGCCTAGAACACCCTAGCAACTCCCCACCCCCGAGTATGCGACTCCCCTCCCAGCCCAAGGCTGTCCTCTCCACGGCTGCATTTTGCTTGGGTCAGCAAATGACCTTCTCAGGTCCACAGAGGCGGGGCCTCACCCTCTACCTGCCTATCTTAGGGCTTCCTGGACTTCCTGAGCACAGGCCGGGCGAGGGAGGGCCGAGGGCTGGGCCGCAGGTGCCTCTGGGCTCCCTCCCGCTCTTCTCAGGTGCTTCTCTTTGTGTTGTTTTTCTCACGGTGCTTTACAAGGAAAGTGCCGGCTGGCACAGGGTGGGTCAGGTCAGAGGGCCTGGACACAGGGAGGCCACTCCCTCCTGTGGGTGCTGCTACCCTGCACCTGCTCCTGTGCCTCACAGGGACTGTGCTGATGTCTCAAATGTCAGTGGGGTGGGGCTCGGTGGCAGAGTGCTTGCCTAGCAGGCGTTAGGCCTGGGTTCCATCCCCAGCACTGAACATATTAAATGTCGGTGAAAGTTTCAGAATTTTTATGAAGGCTAATCCCAGTCTTCACAGCTCAGCAGACATGGAGGGCACGGACACAGGGCCTTGATAGAGGCTGGGGGAGCCCAAGAGGGAACCTGCTACCTGCTCCTTGCTTCCTCCCGTGGCAGCTGTATCAGCTGCAGGAGAGAGGGGACCCTTCCAGAGAACAAAGCTGCCCAAGACATGACCCACAGGCTGGTCTCCTGGGACCTGCCACAGAGAAGCAGAGACCCTGGGGTCCTGCTGAAGGACCCATGGCAACCTGCTGCTCTTCCTGCCCACTCCAACCACAGTCCCAGGGCCCTGACGTCTTTGTGCCATGATGTCCACACCCACATCTCCCGGCCTCTCCTCAACTCTGACTCAAACTCACTATCTCACTGAGACAGGTAGCTCAAGCTGGACACGTGGCTTCCATCTAACCTGTTCCTCTGAGGGTCCTCTCTACAGACAAGTTCTTCAACCGACCTTTCAGCCTGAAGCACTGAAGTCAACCTTGGCCTCTTCCTCTGTCTCACCCTATATCCAACTCCAGGACAACCCCTCATCTCATCTCTCCCCCACGTGCTTCCCGACAGCCGGCCCTCCACCTTGCCTGTAGCTTCCGACCAGATGTCCGGTTCCAGCGCCCATGGTGACATAGGGCCCCTCACAGCCAGGTGGCCTATGGCGAGTGGGCCCCTCCCAGAACTCTGTTGAAACCTCACATCATACTCCTCACACTCAGAGTAAAGGCCGAAGGCAGGCCAGGGTCCCTCCACAAACATAGCTGGATGAATCCATTCCACATCAATGTTTTAGCACCACCATTTAAAAACAGATATATAAAAAAAACCAAACAAACCAGATAACATCAAAGAGCCCAATATACACGTAAAGGCATTAACAGTGCAATAAAGGGCTGGTGACGTAGCTCAGTAGTTAAGGCTGGCCTGGTACTCACAAAGCTGGGCTTAGATCCCAGAAACCCAATAATCGATCAATCAATCAAATCACCAGAAAAGACTACCTCAAAGCCGTCAGAGGGAATGAACCAGAAAAGCCAGACCACACCCACTGTGGAGGAAGCTGTGGGGCAGGGGACTTCTTCCCTGGAGGGGACTAATGTCTGGCCAAAGGTGCCACACGCAGCTACAGACTCGTGCAAGTGGGCTCCAGTATCACTCACGTCCACTCCAAGCCAAAGGGCGCTCGGCGCAACATTACTTGAGGAAACTCCAAACCAGACACCGTTCAGCTTCCTGGAGCGGCGCGAAGGAGTGGAGACACTCGCTCAGCAAAGCGCTGCTCAGCAAAGCGCTGCTCAGCAGCACTCCCCGAGCGCACCCTCTGCAGACCTGGTGGATCAGGACCCACTCCCAAGGCCTGCCGAGCTGTGGGCCACTGCTCTAACCACACGGAAAACACCTGGAGGGGCTGGGGTGCAGCTCAGTGGGGTAGGTGCTGTGGTATTCAGCATGGCCAGGGCTCCACCCCCAACACCATCAGAAAATAAAAACAAAGATCTGTTGGGAAGATGGACAGTTGCCTGTACCTACATAGTAAATTAAGCAAGTAGAAAACACAAAACTTTTTTTAACTTTAAGGGAAACACAAGTTGTGTAAGAGAGGAAGGCATGGGCCGTGCACGGCCTTGCTGCACCGCGGGCTGCATCCATACGGTGGCCCTAGTGTGGACACAGGCGTGACAGCAGGGAAGTGGCTGCACCGCAAGACTCAAGAAAGCGCAGGCAGAGTACTCAGAAAGTGGGTGCAACCCCTAGAAACGACCAATAGGGCCCTTGGGACAGAACAAGGGTGGAGCAAGCAGGACAGGGTGTTGCTGTGCTGGACGAAGGTCCTTTTAGTACTGCTTTTACTGCCCGCTTGCTCAATTCCATGTGGCTACAACGAAGTTATAGATCCAAGCACACCATGTTGGCACAGCAGGCCTCACAAGTGGGAGAGGTGGGTCAGAGCCCCCAGGACACACTTTCTGCTCCAGCGATCCACAGCTGGACCGAGAGTACCCATACTTAAACACCCCACCCTAGGGAGCGCGAGCTGCCAGGCCAGGGGTGGGAGAGGAACGCCGGAGACTGCCAACTTGGCGGGGCAGCGAGAGGCACAGGGCACCCTCCGGGTGGAGGCAGAGAACACAGCATGTGTTTTGCAATCGCCATGCAGAGCACTGCTCCTGGCCAGGTGAGGGGTGGCCCACTGGGTGTCTGGACAAAAGACCCATCTTCAAGGCCACAATCTGCAAGGGTGTGCGTGGCCAGCTGCAGGAGGAGATGTCCTGGCTTTGTGTCCTCACTCTGTCCTGAGACTCTGCTGTAGGCACAAAGGTGGCTTCGGTGTGAAGCAAGCAGAAGTCGAGGCCCTGCCTTCCCCGAATCGGCAGTGTTCGGGAGGCCTCACACCAGCACGTGCGGTGAGTGTGCAGCATGCCTTCCAGCTGTCAGTCCCACCTGCCTCTTTCCTGTGCCCCTGCCTCCTCAGATGTGGCATTCTGGTCACTGGAGCACAGGGCTTACTTGTGGGGTGTGCAGTCACATCTGTCTGAAAGTTACTGCCTGCCATCCTGTGAAGGAATGGCCTCCACAGGTGCTCCTGGCATACCAACATCGTGTGCAAGACACAGGAGGGGCAGTGAGTGTGTGTGACTTGGGGACTGTTCAGGTCTCCCCAAGAAACGAGGTCTTGGCTGCATGCAGCTGGAAGCAAGTCTTCTGACTACTGTATAAAATATATTAATATATATAGCTCTCAATTCTATGACAACCCTAAGAATTTGTTCCATAGTACTAATACTGATGCTCTTAAACTGCTGCTAATAAATTTCAATCAGTCATGCTATGGGCCAGACTGAGTTTACCTTTCTATTTCTTCTGTAGACAACTGGACAAGAGCATGGGGTGCAGCTCAGTGGTATAGCATGCTTCCAACACGCCTGAGGCCCCGGGTTCCAGCTCGACACCAAAAAACCAAAACAATATAAAAAAATCATTGCCATTCAAAGATGCAAAGGGTACAAAGCCCCCCAAAAAGATAAAATGTATATTAAGAAGACTGAAAAACAGAAATTGTTATTTTTATGTTTCACAATATTTGCAGTTTTTTTTTTTTTTTTTTTTTGGTTTTTCTCCGGTACCGGGAATCGAACTCACGACCTTGTGCTTGTGAGGCAGGCGCTTTGCCACTGCGCTAAATCCCCAGCCCCCAATATTTGCAGTTTTTGTTAGCATTTAAAAATGTATAGCAGTGACTGTTCTTATTCTCAGTGAGTGACCTTTATATCTTATTTGCGTACCTAATTTTGTGTTTTCTTAGACAGGCCCCTAAATGATCAAATGCCCACGGGGTAAATACTGCTATTTGTTCTGGGGGTGGTGGGGCTGTGGCCACTAGCCTGGCAGGAGGCCCCTGAGATGTGGGCGGCTGGACACAAGCAAGGATGACTCCAGAGGACCTGTAGGAACAGGTGGGAGCACTGAAGAGGGAGGAAGGAGACAGCAGCGGGCAGCAGCAGGTGGCCTAGGGTGCCTGCACTGGGTCCAGTGACTGAGGGGCCAGGGCACAGACATGGCCCTTTTGAGGGGCCCCCACCTTTGAGCATCCAGGTCCCAGTGCTCGGCCTCAGGAGTAACTACCGAGAGAGAGCAGAGGGCCTGGTGCAAGCCAGAGGGCTTTGGGAGCCTGGCTCTGGCGTTAGACACGCCCGCAGTGCAGGCGTCTGGCGAAGGTCACCACTCCCTCCCTGCCTGCCTTTCCTCCTCGCTGGCTGTCTGGCTAAGGCTGTCTTCTCCAGGAGCACCGTGATTACTACACAAGCACTGTTTAGCCGAGCTGATCCTCTCTGCACAGGTGAGGGTCACCTTGGGTGACTTCAGTCCCAGCCACCAACACCTGGGTCCCTCACGCAGCCACCATCTGGCAAGATGCCCAGAAGGAGCGGAGTCCAGGCTTCCTGACCAGACTCCTAATGGGGATCTTTATTTCGCACCCCCTCTTTTAGAACGCTTTGCTACCACTGGAGAGCTGAAAAGTCGCCCAGGACCTCCCCCCGACTCCTGAGACCCTGGAGAGCCGCGGCAGCGCAGCATGTGCTCAGTGAGAGCTCGGAAAGTCAAGCTTTCTGTTTCTTCCAAGATGTGCGGGTGAAGCGCACAGAACCCCAGAACCGGACCTACGGGGCTCTACCCGTCTGCAGGAGGCCCTGGGCAGCCTGCGGGAGCAGGGTGCACCCCCGGGTGCTCTGTCGGCGCCCCCTCCAGGAAGACCCCCGGTGGCGCGTGGACTCCGCGCATCGGGACAGCGCTCTTTGACCTCTCACCCAAGGAAACGCTGCCCGCCGGCGCGGACCCGAGGGAGCGCAGGCTCCCCGTGCCGCCCGCTCACCTGTCCCGCGCGCCGGGCCAGCTGCACCGCCGCCTCGAAGCACTCGTCCCACGGACTCCCGTCCTCCTGGCCGCCCGCCTTCATCGCGGCCGCCAGCACTCCTCACGCCGCTGTGCACTCGCACGCCACCGCTGTCGCCCTCAAGCGCTCGCGCTCTTAACGCCACCCGCAGGAAGCACGCGGAAGCCCCGCCCCACTCAGCCCCGCCCTCTGGCCGCGCGCCAATGGCTGGCCCCGCCACTCACTTCTCGGCCCCGCCCAATCCCCGGCCCCGCCCCCGCTGGTATTTCCTGAACACCAATCTGCGCCGAGCTTTGTCTTTCACACCCACCGCGGGAAGCTCTGCCCCCGCTGACTCCCGACCTTGGCCCCGCCCACCCCAGGTTGTATGGATACAGTCTCGCCTTTCACGTGCCGACTTCGCCCAGGCCCTTCCCTGGGGACTGGTGGATGGGGGGGCTGTGACTGGGAGGTGAGGGAGGGGGGGCTCCTGGTGTGGTCCCGCGAGTGGGGCCGGGTTGGGGGATCCCCTGGCGGGGCCCTGGGATGTGGTCCCTTGGCTGGGCCCTGGGGGACACAAGGTGCCCTGGGTGTGGCCAATGCCCAGTCCAGGTGAGGGGCGGCGGGCTGGTGGACTGCTGGGGCAGTAGAACACTCTCATGACAGGCTGTGGGATCAGGCAGGAACTGTTCAGACTCAAATCCAGGATCGTGCTCCAGCTTCCTGTCACAAGGCCCTGGCTGCGTACTGCAGGTGTGCTGCCCTGCTGACCACAGGGCCTGGGCCAGCTCTTCCTGGGCATGTCTGTGCCCTGCTAGCCCCTCTCCCTTTGTTGCTGGGGACTGAACTCAGGGTCTTTGCACAGAGCTACATCCCCAGCCCTTTTCACTTTTTACTTTGAGACACGATCTCGATAACATACCCAGGCTGGGCTCAGATTTGGTGGTCCTCCTGCCTCAGCCTGCCGAAGTGCTGAGATTACAGGCATACACCACGATGCCCAGCTTCTAGCTAGCCTCTTAGGAAAGTTGCTGACCCTTACAAATGTGTTCTGGAGTGCCGCTCTGAGGTCTGAGAGGACGGCTGGAGTCTGTGTAAGCAAGAGACTTGGTGGGCTGCTTGCTGCAGGCCCTAGTGATGATTGTAGTTTTGGTGAGCGTTTGTGTTGACACACCTCGGGGAGAAAGGCTAGGCGTCCTGGAGAGAAACACCCCTGAGGGTGGGAGGCATTAGGAAAGCAGATGGCCCTCCCTCCCCAGCCTGCCCCTCCCCAGGCACTTAGAAGAAAGCCAGGCCTGCCCTGGCCCTGCCGGGTTCTTCAGGTGTTCAGAGCAGAGAGCTGGGCTTTTGGAAACACTGGGATGCTCTGAATGCTTCATCCTGAAGAGAAACGTGTTCTATGTTTGATCCCAGCATCAGCTTCATTAGGGTTCAAAGAGGAAGGCGAGGACTTCTCTTTGACCCTCTTCCTGGACTGTGACCATATCTAGCTGCTCTCTGTCTTTAAACTTTATTATAGGTCTTACCTGTCTAAACATCTGCCAGAAAGTACCTTAATGACTTCCTTGTCTAACTGACAAATATCCCGGAGCAGCGTTCTGTGGATTTTTTTTACTGGCTTGAAGCTTGCAACCAGCCTGATTTTCTAAGTTACAGTACTGTCCTCATTTCGTCCTTGCTGTGTCCCAGTTATAAATCATCTTTCCTACCCGCTTCCCTCGACTGTCCCACAGCCTTTGTAACTGTACTCGGGGTCGTATGCACTGCTGGGCAGCTGCTGATGGTGGGTGGGGGCTGCCGCTCAGGCAGAGCCCTGTGGGCGTGCACAAGGCCTGGGTTCCCTCCCAGAGCCAAAGACAAGAACAAAAAGGCTGCCACTCACGCACCAGTACAGCCTGGGGAGCGGCAGACTGTGGTATACAGTGGGCACCCAGTGTGTTTCTGTTACTCACCAACTACTGGAATCAGTTTTTTCTCACGGATGACCGAAATCTCTCGTGGCCCAGAGGATGCTCCTGATTGTCCCATCCCACCCCCTTGGCGGGAGTCTTGGTCATGCAGCCACGTGTGAAGTGCAGGGAGGAGGCCAGAGAAGTCAGGAGGTAGCAGCGAGAGGGTGGACAGCATCAGGTGGACGCTGTATTCCTGTTGCTCCGGAGTCTCCTCCTCCCTGTCTTTTCCAGAGCAAAGTCAAGGCTAAATAAACAGACTGACTGGCAAAGCTTTTGTTCCTCCTGTGGCAGATTGACAACCGGTGGTCAGCTTGTAACACCGAGCTGGCGTGGTGCTGGGTGTGGGGGGCCCACCTGAGGACTGTTGTCAGCAGCATAGGAGGCAGAACTGGGGAGGAAAAAGAGAAGCTATAGGGAGCTGTTGATTGTCCTGGAGAAGCTTGTCACGCTGGCTTTCCTGATGAAGTCTGTTGTTTTCATCCTTCAAGGAGCTCAGGACCTTGTTGGCACTGCAAATAACTTCAGTTCACTTTGAGGGAGCTCTGATCCTTACTTTGCGCATCGCTTCCTGGCTCCAGTGCAGATCCCTCAGCCTGCTAGCATGGATCCTTCATCCCACTGGCACAGACTTCCTAGCTTCCACCACTGACCTTTGGGCCTTCCCAGCGCAGATCCATGAAACAGGCCTGTGAGAGATGTTGTCGTGGGCTCTGGGCCTCGACTGGACTCATGGGAGGCATTGTTACGGGCTCTGGGTTTTCAGCTGGACTCATGAGGACACTGGCATGGGATCCAGGCCCTCAGCTGGATTCTTTGGTCTTTAGTGTGTGGACAGATTTCCTGCACTCTGTATATGACCCTTTGGGTGACTATTATAAATAATCTTATAAAATATGTGTCCTGTATTATATTGTTCCCCTTACAAAACCCTGATTACAACATCTCCTGACCAGGGCTAGTCTCCCCGGTGACCCTGTTCTCATTCTCTGCGGACAAGGCTTGGGCACTGGGCATGCCTGTGATGTGTTTCATCTCGATAGAATCTGAGGCACCCAAGAATGTCTGGCCATCTTTCACCTCAGTGCAGAGAAGGCCGGTATATGCTGGGTCTCCCCTTTTGCCCCGGATTCCTGTGCTAAGTCCTAGCGTGACATGCTGGGAGAGCAGCCTTCAGCTGGGTGGTGAGGGTGGGACCTGATTCACAGTGCGGGCGTCCTTGTGGGGATTTGGACACAGAGAAAGGCTCGGGGAAAGGCCATGTCCGGACATAATGAGGAGGCGGCTGTGTGAGGCCCAGGAGAGAGGCCTCAGGAGAAGCCAGCCCTGCCCACAGCTTGATCGTAGATGCCAAACCCCCAGGCTCTGAGAAACTGCATTGCTGAGGGCTGGCCTCTGAGCACCGAGCAGCCAGACCTCGGTCCAGTGCCAGACCCGTGTGAGCAGGCGCCGAGAGGGCGGCTTCTCAGGACAGCCCGCGGTGTGGGGCCGGAGGCTCGCTTTGCGTGTCACCACACGACAAGCTGCTCAGAGCTCTTCCCAGCAGAGGGGGCTTGCCGTGTAGGAGCACCGTCGCCGTGCCGGCTCCACTGCCACCGTCAGGCCCACGTGCCCAGGGTTACTTGGCACCACCACTTTTGACTAGGGTAAGCCAGACGAGATGGCCAGCACAGCCCTGTGTGTACCCCTGCTGGCCCTGAGCAAGACCCCGTACGGTGGCGATTCCAGCAGTCCCGGCACGGTGTGTTCCAGCAGAGTTGTCTGTTTTTAAAAATGTTTTCCACAGATGATTTCAGGTCTCACTTATTTCCACTGAAAAAATCAGGATGCATTGTCCTACCCTGGGAAAGTCCCTGGTCCCTCTGCTGTTGAGGCAGGTGACTGTGGAGCTCTGTCACCCAGTGCCAGATGCTCCCTGAGGGACTTACAGGGTGGTGACCTGGCTTTCAAAGCTGCATAGCTTTTCTGAACTGTTTCTTCTTTGTTTTGCCTTCCAGGCCCTCGTCAGGATCCCACATTCTTTGTAAATCCTGGTGATCATGAAGCTGTCCTTCCGTAATCGGTGTCGCCCTTAATGTATTAAACTCTAACCTGCAAGACCATAGTCATCGGAAATAGAAGTCTGTATTTCAGACTCCATGCATCTGAAATTCTTCACGATGACGTAAGTGGAAACTAACAACACAGCCTATCAGATGGTCTTTTGCAACCTGCAGAGTCGGTTGCACAGCCCGCACCTCTTCATTTCCGCATAGCCGAGCTTCAGCTGCCTGCCTGCCTCCTTGAGAGCAGAACACTGCGCCTGCTTCGGATAACTCAGACATGAGTTGAGGCACAACGACAACTCTGTTGTAGAGGAAAATGAAGGTACAAGTGACGTAGGCGGGGAGCACAGCGTCCAGTTACCCTGAGAGTGTTCCAGAGAATGAGAAGCTGCATTGACCTTAACTGACAGAGAGAAAGGTAACCCTAAGTCAGTACCTGCGGGAATGCCCCGCTGGTCATGACACAGGCCGGTTAAGATAAAGCAGGCAAAGTCTGCCCTGTCTCTCGTGTTCTTAGTGAGATCAGCCAAGTCAGGGTCTTTATCTACTTATCATGAGACTATTAGGGCAGATAAAAATCATCGAAAGTAGTGACTTGTCTTCAAAGGGCCAGAGGTGGCCTCCCAGTGCTTTATCACGTGGGCCCATCGGGCCTGTTTTATCTCTTCTTTTTGGGAAGAGGAAGAAGTTGTCCATCTGGTGCTTGCTTGAAGAATTCTACTGCAATAGTTTTTTTCAGTATTGTTTAATTTCATACATGCTAGTGATTTCCTAGACATTTCCCGTTCCAAATTCAGTCATTTCCACCCGGAGCTGCCTCTGTCCCAGGTGGGTCAGGCAGGGGCCTGGCCGGGGAAAGGGTGCTTGTACCTTGCCCTTGCCAAGGCCTTCGCTGGCAGAGGCCAGGTATGACCTGCTGGCCATTCCTCAGCTTTGGCCAGGTCCGGCTGGCCTCTCCCCACCAGCCCCGCCGTCTTGGTCCCTGCTCAAGGAGGGACCACTGCCTCCTTGAGCAGGAGAGTCCAAATGACCTGCCTTGAGCAGGTCCCGTCTTGGTCCCTGCTCAAGGTCCCTGCTCAAGGACCTGCTGCTGTTATGGACTGAGGTCTGGCTGCTCAGGGCTCAGGTGCCCGTACCCAGGGAACAAGCGTGGGCAGGAAGGAAGGTGGAGGCAGGGAGCTGCACGTTTGCACCCTGCCTAGGCAGCAGAGACCTTGTGTCAAATAAAAAATACAAAGGGCTGAGGGTGTGGAGGGTGGGGCTGCGGTAGAGAGCCCCTAAAAAAGGAAGAAACAAAGGGATGGGGAGGAGATCAGGGCTATTCAAGGGTCTGCCCTGACACGATGGAGAGGTGATCACCTTTGAAGCGCCACCTTGGGAACCATGTGGTGAAAAGGGCTTGTGTAGGGAGGGAAAGGAGGACCCCAGGATGGGGCGGGAAGACCGTGGGCTGAACCAGGGCTGCCCTGTTTAAGACACTCGTCTCCTTTTCCTCCTTCTCTGGCTGGAACACTGCAGGGGCCCTGACCCCAGGACCAGCTCCTGTCCTTCTGTAGACAGATGTGGGTTGCCTCCTGGCCACGGCCGTGCTGTGTCAGTTGAGACACAGAACTCAAGGATGAGGTGAGTATTACGTGTTCTGATGGGACCTAAAGGTTTTGGGTCCTAGGACTCTAAAGGAAGATCATTTAGTAGCTGCCACCTTACTCACTTGGGGCTGGCTTCTCTTGGGCGTTTAGGGTGCTGGGTGAAGGAGCTGCAGTCCTCGTGAGTCCGAAGGCTCCCCGCCCTCAGGCGCAGCATTTGCCACACTGCCGCCCCACCCGGAAGGAAGGGAACCAGGGGCAGGCTGCTTTCCAGGTCCCATGGGGACGGTCTTGGGCCCTAGAAGTGTCCAGAAAAGGTCAGCAGGTATGGCCGTCCCCTCCCCTCCTCTGCAGGACACCTGAAGGCTCTCTCTGGCTTGGCTACAATCCTGCCTTGGCCTGCCAGCCCTCTGGGCTCAGGTCCACAGAGAGGAGGGAGGAAGCCTCTGCCCCAGCGTAACTGCAGCCACCACCAGCACCACACTTTGTGCAACCACTTTGTGGGGCTGCGGATTGAACCCCGGGCCTCACACACGTGAGGAGTGCACCCCTCGCTTTCCTTTTCTAAAAACTTTAAAAGCAGTTTAGATTCACAGCAAAAGGAAGAGGAAGGTACAGAGATTTCCCCTACGCTTCCCCACACGGCATCTTATCTTTGACGGCTCATTTTACCTCCTGCTTGCTGGACTCTGGGCTGCAGCGCTGGGCGGAGCTGCCTGTGACGGAGCCCGCCCAACCCGGGAGTATTTGGACTCTTACTGCCTCAATGGAGGGGGCAGCTCACGAAGTCTGTACTTTAAAACTGTTTCAGGCAAATGTTCTTTGCTGTTTTATTGAAAGTTTATGCTCCATTTGTATACAAAGCTTTTGTTTCTCCTTTATCCTAAAGAGACACTGTTAGGTCACTCCCCTCAGTCTGGGTGTGTGGTGAAAGAGCGGAGAAATGACTTGCATGGCCTGGGGAAAGTTTGCATGTGGGTCCACAGAGCAGTGCTACAGGGTACCAAGAGAAGACACGTGAGGCTGGTGGTACTGGGTCCAGGCAGTGGGACAATGCCTGCACCAGTGGAGGCGGCCTCCAGGGACCTCCTTCTTTGCCACTCGAGCCCGGAGTGTCTACGAAGCGCTTTCTTCCTGGTCCTTGGTGACTACAGGAAGGGGTGTGGGAGCTCTGTGTTCTGCCAGGCCTCTGCAGCCTGCGGTCCGTGCCTCTCACTAATATCACCGGGGGCTCTGTGGCTCATGCTGTGCTCCGTGACAACCATCTGTGTCCAGTTCCTGCACTGAGACTGACTCCAACACGAGCATGCCTAAGCACTGGCCGGGCTTGCGAAGAGCTGGAAGTTCCCATAAAGCTTCTGAGAGAGGAGTGAATGTATTAAAATGGAATTCCTGGCAGAGACCAGAACCAGTCATGTTACAGTGAAGGCAACACTTTACATTACCCTTCAAAAAGCTGATATATTTCCACCCCTTTTCTTTCCTTTCTCCTTTCTTCTCTCTTCCTTTTTCTTTCTTTCTTTTTTCTTTCTTTCTTTCTTTCTTCTCTTTCTTTCTTTCTTTCTTTCTCTTTCTTTCTTTCTTTCTTTCTTTCTTTCTTTCTTTCTTTCTTTCTTTCTTCCTTCCTTCCTTCCTTCCTTCTTT